GCAGAGTTTTGCTCTTGTTGCCCAGGTTGAAGTGCAATGGCACGATCTCAGTTCACTGCAACCTCCGCCTACCAGGTTCAAGGGATTCTCCTACCTCAACCTCCTAAGTAGCTGGGATTACAGGCATGTGCCACCATGCCCAGCTAATTTTTTGTATTTTTAGTAGAGATGGGGTTTCCTTATGTTGGCCAGGCTGGTCTTGAACTCCTGACCTCAGGTGATCCACCCACCTTGGCCTCCCACAGTGCTGGGATTACAGGCGTAAGCCACCGTGCCCGGCCAATTTTTGTATTTTTAGTAGAGATGGGGTTTCACCATGTTGGCCTGGCTGATCTCAAACGCCTGACCTCAGGTGACCTGCCCTCCTTGGCCTCCCAAAGTGCTGGCATTACAGGCGTGAGCCACTGTGTCTGGCTTATAGCTTCTTTAATATTACATTTTATTTTTTTTTTTATGTACTTTACTAGATGCTTGCTTTTAAGAGTACAGCCTGATGATTTTTTGTAACTTTCACCCAAATTAAGATACAGAAATTGGACCAATATCGTAATTAAGATACAGATATTGGACCTAACAGTAGTCCGTAAGAGGTTATCATACTTCTGACTTACATCATCATTCATCAGTTTTGCCAGTTCCTGAACTTTGTGTAAATGGAATCATATATGTTTGTATGTGGCTTTCTTCACTTAGCATGATATTTCTGAAATTCAACTATGTTCTGGTGCTTCTTTTTATTATTATATGAATCTGTCATGATTTATCTATTTTCCTATTGGTAGACATTTGTGTTGTTTCTAGTATTTTGCTGTTACTAATTAAACTGCTGTGAACATTCTTGTACTTGTCTTTTTGTGGACACATGCACTTACTTTTCTTGGACATATATCTATTATTGGAATGGCTAGGTTGTAGTATAGACACAGGTTTAGCTTTAGTTGAAACTACCAGTTTGCCAAAGTAGGTATACCCATTTACACTGCCATTCTGTGCATGTGTAATAATGTCTCATAATAATGAACATTTCTTTATATGCATATTTATCACTTAGTCTCTTTTCAAGTGCCCATTCAAGTTGTTAGCATGTTTAATTTGCCTGTTATTATTGATTTGCAGGAATTTGTGTATTCTGGACATGAGTCCTTTGGCAGATGTATGCATTGTGAATATTTTCTCTGTCTGTAGCTTGCCTTTTCAGTTTTTATTGGTGTAAATTAAGGATATACACCCTATCTATCAGGTATATTAAAAACATTTCTCCCAGCCTGTCATTTGCCAGCATCTTTTGCCATATATAGTTATTTTATTTGAATGTTATTAAATCTGTCAGTCATTGCCTTTATGGCTTAAGGTTTCATTTTACATTTGGAAAGCATTTTCCACTCCAGGGTTATGAAAAAATTCTCCTATATTTGAATATTTATATCATTTTCTTGCTATATTTAGCTTTTTAGTTTATTTGGAATATAATTTTGTGCAGTACAATATAAGGTTGAATTTTTTTGACATATAGTCATTGTTCACCAGTGATTTAAAATACTACCTCTATTATTTTACTTTTATTTTTTAGAGGTAGGGTCTTGCTCTATTGCCTACGCTGGAGTGCAGTAGCACAATCATGGCTCACTATAGCTTCAAACTCCTGGGCTCCAGCGATCTCCTACCTCAGCCTCCAAAGTAGCTGGGACTACAGGCATGTGTCACCATGCTGGCTGATTAAGTTTTTTGTAAAGATGGGGTTTCACTGTGTTGCCCAGGCTGGTCTTGAACTCCTGGCCTCAAGTAACCCTCTTGCTCAGCTTCCCAAAGTGTTGAGATTATGGGCATGAGCCACTGTGCCCAGTACTACCTTTATTATATATTAAATTTCTTTATGTACTTGGGCTTGTCTCTAAACTGTTATTAAGAACTGATCTCATTTTCTCATTCAGTGGAGAGATATATCTCTTCATTTATTAAGATCTTATTTGTTGAAAACAGACTTATTTACTCTTTATCTCCTGTTTTCTCTTTTTTCTTTTTCTTTTGCAGTCTTGTTAAACAACTTTTTTGCCTAGGGACTTTACAGATTTTTATTGTGTAAATAAGACCATCTACTCTACAAGTACCACTGTGGTTAGATTTATAATTGTTTATCACTAGTGTATATTAATGTTATATCCAGCCACCTTACTAAATTTACATACTGTTTCTAAGAGTTTTGGAGTTGATTCTCTTAGGCTTTCCAGATAGATATATAAACTATAAAAAATAGTAATTTTTCTCTTTCTAATATTTGTGTCCTTTTTTTCTTGTACAGAAAAGTGCAGAATAGTAGTGGAATCTTTATCTTGTTTTAGTCTTTTTTGGTGAATAATTAAAATATCTCACCATTAAATATGATGTTTACTTTGCATTTGAGAGAGAGAGTTTTCTTACTTTCTTCCTGAGAATTTTAATTCAAAGAGTGCTAAGTCAGGTGAAATTAGTTTTGGGGATCTAACCAAATAATTATATTATTTTTTCCCTTTAATAGTGTAATAAATTATGACAATAGATTTCCAAAGGTGGAATCATCTTTGAATTCATAGAATAATACTTAAATAGTCATAGGGATTTTTAATAAATTATTCTATCAGTTTGCTAATATTTAACTTGCGATGTTTGTATTTTTATTTATTTTTAGAGACAGTCTTGCACTGTTGCTCAGGCTGAAGTGCAGTAGCGCAGTCAAGGTTCACTGCATCTCAACCTTCCTGGCTCAAGCAATCCTCCCACTTCAATCTTTGGAGTAACTAGGACCACAGTTAGATGCCCCCAGGCCTAGCTAATTTTTTTTTTTTTTTTTTTTTTTTGAGATGGAGTTTTGCTGTTGTTGCCCAGACTGGAGTGCAATAGCACGATCTCGGCTCACTGCAACCTCCGCCTCCTGGGTTCAAGCAATTTGCCTGCCTCAGCCTCCCGAGTAGCTGGGACTACAGGCACGCACCACCATGCCCAGCTAATTTTTGTATTTTTAGTACAGACGAGGTTTCACCTTGTTGACCAGGATGGTCTCGATCTGTTGGCCAGGATGGTCTCGATCTCTTGACCTCGTGATCCACCCGCCTCGGCCTCCCGAAGTGCTAGGATTATAGGCGTGAGCCACCGCGCCCGGCCTAGCTAAATTTTTTTAAGAGTTGGGGGTCTCACAGTGTTGGTCAGGCTGGTCTCAATCTCCTGGCCTCAAGTGATACACCTACCTTGGTCTCCTGAAGTGCTGGGATTAAAGGCATGAACCACCATGTGTGGCCCAGGATGTTTGTATTTATACTCATGACATTTGTCTGAGATTTTCTTTCCTACACTTCTTAGTTTGCTTATGGCAATTATGGGTTATAGACTATGGTATTAGAATTATGCTAGCGTCATAAGAACATTTTTCAGTTTTCTTTATTCTTTGAAACAGTGAAATAACAGGGAATTAATCTGTACCTTGAAGGCCTGATACAATTAGTCTTTTAACATCATTTGGATCGCACAACTAGTTGAAGCATTTATCTTTTTCTTTTCCAGTTTTCTCCATGATAATTGCTCTGTTTGAATTTTCTATTTTTTCTTTTTTAAATATATATTTTATTGTGTTTTAGGTTTTGGGGTACATGTGAAGAACATTCAAGACTGTTGCATAGGTACATACATGGCAATGTGGTTTGCTGCCTTCCTTTCCCTCACCTATATCTGGCATTTGTCCCCATGGTATCCCTCCCCAACTCCCCACTCCCCACTGTCCCTCACATAGTTCCCCCCCGACAGACCCCAGTGTGTAGTGCTCCCCTCCCTGTGTCTATGTCTTCTCATTGTTCAACACTCACCTATGAGTGAGAACATGCGGTGTTTGATTTTCTGTTCTTGTGTCAGTGTGCTGAGAATGATGGTTTTCAGGTTCATCCATGTCCCTACAAAGGACAAGAACTCATCGTTTTTTATGGCTGCATAGTATTCCATGGTGTATATGTGCCACATTTTCCCTGTCCAGTCCATCACTGATGGGCATTTGGATTGATTCCAAGTCTTTGCTATTGTGAACAGTGCTGCAATAAACATGCATGCGCATGTGTCCTTATAATAGAACACTTTATAATCCTTTGGATATATACCCAGTAATGGGATTGCTGGGTCAAATGGAATTTCTATTTCCAGGTCCTTGAGGAATCGCCACACTGTCTTCCACAATGGTTGAACTAATTTACACTCCAACCAACAGTGTAAAAGTGTTCCTATTTCTCCACATCCTCTCCAGCATCTGTTATCTTCAGATTTTTTAATGATCGCCATTCTAACTGGCATGAGATGATATCTCAATGTAGTTTTGATTTGCATTTCTCTAATGACCAGTGATGATGAGCATTTTTTCATGTTTGTTGGCCTCATGTATGTCTTCTTTTGTAAAGTGTCTGTTCATAACCTTCACCCACTTTTGAATGGGCTTATTTGTTTTTCTCTTGTAAATTTGTTTTAATTATTTGTAGATTCTGGATATTAGCCCTTTGTCAGATGGGTAGATTGCAAAAATTTTTTCCCATTCTGTTGGTTACCAGTTTACTCTAATAATTGTTTTGCTGTGCAGAAGCTCTGGAGTTTAATTAGGTCCCATTTGTCTATTTTGACTTTTGTTGCCAATGCTTTTGGTGTTTTAGTCATGAAGTCCTTGCCTATGCCTATGTCCTGAATGGTTTTGCCTAGGTTTTCTTCTAGGGTTTTTATAGTGTTAGGTCTTAAGTTTAAGTCTTTAATCCATCTGGAGTTAATTTTAGTGTAAGGTGTCAGGAAGGGGTCCTTTTTCTGCTTTCTGCACATGGCTAGCCAGTTTTCCCAACACCATTTATTAAACAGGGAATCCATTCCCCATTGCTTGTTTTTGTGAGGTTGTCAAAAATCAGATGGTTGTAGGTGTGTGGTGTTACGTCGGAGGCCTCTGTTCTGTTCCATTGGTCTATATCTCTGTTTTGGTACCAGTACCATGCTGTTTTGATTACTGTAGCCTTGTAGTATAGTTTGAAGTCTGGTAGTGTGATGCCTCCCGCATTGTTCTTTTTGCTTAGAATTGACGTGGCTCTGCAGGCTCTCTTTTGATTCCATATGAAGTTTAAGGTGGTTTTTTCCAGTTCTCTGAAGAAGGTCATTGGTAGCTTGATTGGGGATAGCATTGAATTTATAAATTACTTTGGGCAGTATGGCCATTTTCATGATATTGATTCTTCCTAACCATGAACATGGAATGTTTCTCCATATGCTTGTGTCCCTTGTGTCCTCTCTTATTTCGTTGAGCAGTGGTTTGTAGTTCTCCTTGAAGAGGTCCTTTACATTCTTTGTTAGTTGTATTCCTTGGTATTTTATTCTCTTTGTAGCAATTGTGAATGGCAGTTCATTCTTGATTTGGCTCTCTTTAAGTCTGTTATTGGCGTATAGGAATGCTTGTGATTTTTGCAGATTGATTTTGTATCCTGAGATTTTGCTGAAGTTGCTTATCAGTTTCAGGAGATTTTGGGCAGAGACGATGGGGTCTTCTAGATATACATATGTCATCTGCAAATAGAGACAATTTGACTTCCTCCTTTCCTAATTGGATACCCTTCATTTCTTTTTCTTGCCTGATTGCTCTGGCTAGAACTTCCAGTACTATATTGAATAGGAGTGGTGAGAGAGGGCATCCTTGTCTAGTGCCAGATTTCAAAGGAAATGCTTCCAGTTTTTGCCCATTCAGTATGATATTGGCTGTTGGTTTGTGGTAAATAGCTTTTATTATTTTGAGATATGTTCTGTCAATACCTAGTTTATTTAGAGTTTTTAGCATAAAGGGTGTTGAATTTTGTCAAAGGCCTTCCCCGCATCTATTGAGATAATCATGTGGTTTTTGTCTTTGGTTCTGTTTATGTGGTGAATTACGTTTATAGACTTGTGTATGCTGAACCAGCCTTGCATCCCCGGGATGAAGCCTACTTGATCATGGTGGATAAGCTTTTCGATGTACTGTTGCAATCAGTTTGCCAATATTTTATTGAAGATTTTTGCATCTGTGTTCATCATGGATATTGGCCTGAAGTTTTCTTTTCTTTCTGAGTCTGTGCCGAGTTTTGGTATCAGGATGATGTTTGTCTTATAAAATGATTTGGGAAGGGTTCCCTCTTTTTGAATTGTTTGGAATAGTTTCAGAAGGAGTGGTACCAGCTCCTCTTTGTATGTCTGGTAGAATTCAGCTGTGAACCCATCTGGACTGGGCTTTTTTTGGTGGGTAGGCTATTAATTGCTGCCTCAACTTCAGCCCTTGTTATTGATCTATTCAGGGTTTCAACTTCTTCCTGGTTTAGGCTTGGGAGGATGCAAGTGTCCAGGAATTTATCCATTTCTTCCAGATTTTTTTTTCTTTATGTTTACACTTATTTCTCATGTTTTCATTATACCTCCACTTAAAAAAATACGCTGAGTAATTTTAATTGTTTCTACACTGATTTCTTTGTAGATGCTTATTTTCTGTGAGGAAAGTTCTAGCAACACGTAGAATCACCCATCTTCTGTTTCTTGTATTATTTTAATTCTGACTTCTATGTTTCTTCTCTTCATATAATTTTTTATTAATTTTTGTTTTCTTATTCATATCATTATAATTCCATTCCCACAACATTTTTCTGATCTAATATTCTTCCAAAATTACTGTACGTTCTTCCAGTTAAAACCTCTATAGAATATTCATTTGGATAATATTGCTTCCACCTCTACAAATTCTCCCTTTTCTTTTGGACTCTGTTATTCTGAAACTGTCCCTCCAAAAATTATTTTTTTTCTCTACAATGGAATTTTTTTAAATGTATTTTTTCTAAAAATATTCAAATGATTCAGAAGTTAACAAAGTAGAAAATGTAAACTATAATACTAATCCTCACACTTTTTTTTTAAACAAAAATCTCTAAGGTTCTGATGATCACTGGAATAAAAACCAGTTCTTTATTTTTACTGCCTTTGGCCTCTGTTGTCTTTAGTGTCTTTGATTACCCTCTTAGACAGTTACAGTTAGCACCTTTACCAGTTTGCTCTGATTTTTCTTCTGATTGCTTCTTCAGTATTTTCTTTCAAGATTGAAGTTTCAATTTTATATGGACCTCTTCCTGTTTTATCCCTTTTTGCTCCTTCTCCTCTCGTTTTTAGCTTTCCCAAATTCCTGAAGTAGTAATGTAAAAATTCCCAAGATATTTTATGAGAGAGACACTTCCCTGTACCTAGTGTTAAGAATTTTGAATGGGTATAACTTCACTGGGATACAGTTTTGGAACCTGCATCAGGCTTTATATTTGTTTATGTTCTTTATAATTGATCATAAAGAAATCTGAATTTTAGATATACATCTGTACAAAATTGTTAATCATCATTTTATTTGTAATTGTAAAAAACTGGAAACTAATGTCCATAATAGGGCAGAAGTTAATTATGGAGTAGTCATGGATGGAATTTTGTGTAGCCATTAAAGATTTTACAAAGATATTTTTAATGATGTGAGAAGGTACAAATACTAAGGGAATAAAAAGTGTGATTAAATTGTATAAATAGCTTGATCTTCATTCACTAAATTTAAAATTGTATAAATAGCTTGATCTTCATTCATTAAATTTAATCTGTATTTTGTGTGTTTATGTGATGTCAATGTAAGTGTATACATGAATGGAAGAAAGTACTCCTAAATATTCGGAGTGACTTTCTTGATGGGACTGTGGGTTTTTTGTGATTTCCTTTTTGCCGTTAAGAGCATGTATAACTTTCATAACCACAAAAATATACTTGATTTTCAAAAGATATTTGGGATTTGATAGTATCGTTAACAAAAATTACTAATACAGGTTTGTGATATGATTCAGATCGGCACTAGATATTGCATAGTTACAACCATGTTCAAATTTTATTGTTGGTAAAGATGACTACTAAATATGAGATTGGACTAATGAACAAACCTTGCTTATTTTGCAATTTTCGGTGTTTTTCCATTATAAGGCATATATATGTATATTGATTATAAAAAAACAAACACTGTGATGGTGTTGAAAGCAAATATATGCTTTTTTTTTTTTTTTTTT